CACCTGGTCGTGGACGAGGACGTCCAGTCCCAGAGGAGGGGAGATGTGGATATCCTCCCCAGCCTGATCATATGCAAGAAATGAGGAATTTACTGATGGAGTTCATCACTACTGTGAGACAACAGGGAGCAGCACCAGCTCCACAACCGGTCCCTGCACCACCACCGCCTTATGTACCACCACCTCGACCTCCCGTGCAACCGGCTGCAGCTCCTGCACCTGCACCACCTGTGATGAATGCGGAATTTTTCCAGTTCCTTGATCGAGTGGAGCGTCGTATAGCTCCAAGATTTGGTGGTACATCTGATCCAGCTGTGGCCGAGGATTGGTTGGACAAGATGACTCAGATATTTGATCTTATCCAGTGTCCTGATCTTTTTAGGGCACACATATCCATCTACCATCTGGATGGAGAGGCGCGACACTGGTGGAAAGGAGTTGCCCAACCATTTGGGGCAAACTATCAGTTCACTTGGGGACAGTTCGTCTATGCATTTCGAGAGAAATATTACTCACCTGGAGTACAAGAGGAGATGGCGATGAAGCTTATTAGCCTTCAACAAAGAAATCGTTCAGTGAAAGAATACGAGAGGGAATTCAATGCATTGGCTAGATATGGAGGTGAGATACTGCAAACAGAGACATTAAGGGTTAAAAAGCTCGTAAGAGGAATTCGTCCGTCTCTCAAGGCAAAGGTAGGTTTCGAACAACCACATATATCTCATTGAGATAATGTTACCTTGCTAATTTGAGATTGTTTATCTATAGGTGGAACTTTTGAAAATCAACTCGATGTCAGAAATAGTTGATATGGCTGATCGAGCTGAGAGAACAGAACGTGAAATCGAAGCATCTACTAAGAGGTCGACTAACCCCCAGTCATAGGCGTCTAGTCCAAGATGACAAGAGTAAGGGCAAAGCGGTTATGCAACCTTATACATCCGGTTTCCCGATGTGCTCACAATGTGGGAGACGTCACTTTGGCGAGTGTAGATTGCTCCAGATCACTTGTTACCACTGTAGAAGGGCGAGACATTACAAGAGCGATTGTCCCGAGTTAAAAAGAGAAGCACCTAAGAGGATTGAACAAAGACCAGTTCATCAACAACCAGCTGCTAAGAGACCAGCGGTGAAACCTAGAGTCTATGCTCTAGGAACTGAAGAGCAAGAGGAAGAAGAAACGGCAGCAATCCTAGGGATGTCGATATTTCATTTAAATATGATAGGGAATCGTAACAAATATGGCTAGTTAAGACTAATTTTAAATGTAGGTGTTGTTAACTAGTTATGGGCGTAATTCATTGGACATATCATTTCTTCTCTTAGGTATGTTGAGTATTGGAGGTGAACAAACTCATACCCTTTTTGATACAGGGGCGACACATAGTTTTGTTTCGCCCACACACGTAAATCGCATGAAGATTGCACATGATATTAATAGTGGTAGAATATTGGTCCATACACCTGGTGGAGAGGAAATGGAATCGGAAGGAATGATTCATGACGTATCGGTCCTGATTGGTATACATGACTTAC